TATATGTGTGTATGTGAATGAGTGAGTGTGTATGTGTTTGAATGGGTGAGTGTGTGTGTGTGTTTGAATGGGTGAATGTGTTTGTATGTAAATGTTGAGTATATATGTATGCTGAATGAGTGAGTGTGTATGTGTTTGAATGGGTGAGTGAATATGTGTGTGTGAATGAATGAACATATATGTGTGTGTGGATGAGTACATATGTGTGTGTGAATTTGTGTGCCTGGAAGACAGAAAAGGCACCAGATTGCTCAGAGCTGGGGTCAGGTGTTTGGGGACTCTGAACTTGTGTGTGAGTGCTGGGAATTGCACTTGGCTCCTCATGATTGGGTAGCCAGTGCTCTTAGCTGCTGAGCCACTCCTGTAGCCCCTTGAGTGATTTTTTAAACCAAGTGTTACTGGAAACTTGTGCGTTTCCATGATGTCTTTGGTGACTTTGCTTCTAACCCCTTAGAGCTGGAGCTTGTTACAGGCACCGTGTGGCCCAGGCTTTTTCGTGGTAATGCTGGGGTTGAACTCAGGCCCTTGAACATGCCAGGCAAGTGCTGGGGTCCTGGCTCCATCCCAGCTGCCTTACTGAATGCCCTAACCCTAACTTTGGGGTACTGTGATACCTGTTATGTCCGTCCTCAGGGCAGAGGGCGCTGTTCTCATTTTGGTTGCAGAATCTGAGCCTTAGGTATCTTAGTTGTTGGTGATGTGTGATAGAAGATGCTGGAGTTTGGACACAGGTCCAACTCCAAGCCTGCAGTCCTGGATGTGGAATTTGGTAGCTTAAAAAACAGAATTACATATCATTTCCTGGAATAGCATTGAGCATTGCTTCAATGTGCAGCTAGATAAACAAATGGCCACATTGGGCCTGTGAATCATCTTGTCTTAAGGATTAGGTTTTGCAAAGTCTCTGTGTCCAATTTCTATTAGCTAACAAAAAAACCAGGCCTCAGATGGCCACGCCTTCCTCCTATGGTTGTATGATCAGAACAAAAAAACAGTGATTTGGAGATGTGGAGAGTACAGGAACTTGGCTTTTTCTCTTAGCTTCCAATTATTTGAGTTCCTCTCTCTTAACAGCATGTGGCAGTGTCTTAACATCTGTGTCTCTCCGTTAGTAATGTAGGTGCTCTACTGTTTATATCGTCACCAGAATCTCATTGTTTTACCTTATTAAATAGTGTCATGTGAATACATTCTGTGCTGTTAGAGAAAATGTAGATTCCCTGGACATTTTAAGAATTTATAGAAATATTATGAATATTTTGGGTGCTTTCTTGTACAATAGCATTTCTGTTGGTTATGTCAAAGAGTAATGACTTTTTTTTTTTTTTCCAGATTTCCCTCTGGGGGAATAAGTGTGATATGTCTCTATCAGGTGGAGAAAGTAGTTCTCAGAAGACCAATGTAATAAATTCTTTGGAAGGCCTAAAGCCATTCATTTTGATAAATGATACAGAATTTCTTTGGGCATTGCTCATTAAATGCAAGAAAACAGGAAAACCACCCGGAGTTAGAGTAGATATTGTTCTGGATAATTCTGGGTTTGAGCTTGTTACAGATTTAGTATTCGCAGACTTCTTATTATCCTCCGAGTTAGCTACTGAGATTCATTTTCACGGAAAAACTATCCCATGGTTTGTGTCTGACGTTACTGTGCGGGACTTTAATTGGACAGTTGAACATACGAAGAGCAGTAATCAGAAGGCTACCTCTGCCTGTGGAGCTGCCTGGGAAAACTATGTTAAAATGGGTAGGTGGGTTTACCACAACCATAGGTTCTGGACTCTGCCTCACCCGTACTGTGCGATGCCTCAGGTCGCCCCTGACTTGTATGTGGAACTTCAGAAAGCATGCCTTGTTTTATTCAAGGGGGATTTGAATTACAGGAAGCTGATGAGTGACAGAAAGTGGGAGTTTACCTGTCCATTCCATCAGGCCCTGAGTGGCTTCCACCCTGCACCTCTGTGTAGCATAAGAACTTTAAAGTGTGAGCTTCAGGTTGGTCTGCAGCCTGGGCAGGCCGAGCAGCTCACAGCCTCAGATCCCCACTGGCTGACCACTGGTGAGTACGGAATCTTTCAGTTTGATGGTCCGCTTTGACTCTGCTCAGGAATTGCTGGATGCATAAAAGTTCTGAGAATCTCCCTTCAGCGCCAGAAAAGCAGCGCATGGATTTAGTCCTGGCTTCTTGTCAGCACGGGAAGCCCCATTTCTCAGCTCCTGTGTTTCTTTACATACTGTAGAAGATGCTTCCTTGGAACAATATCCCCACTGCAGTGTTTTTCAAGATGGGTTTTAAGCTAACTTCTGTTGGAACGTTAGTCACTCTTCCAAGTGCATACTTCCAAGTGGTTTTAATGAACTCATCTTTAATTGAGGAGAGTGCAAAATGTAAGGGAATTCTGCTTTTTTATGATTTAATCCTGGGGTTTTACTTTTCTTAAGCAGAATGATCATTTAATATTATAAGGAGCCTAAGTAGTATTTAACTTAGTTTTGTCTCCTGAATCAGTGGCACAGTGAGCACATGCCTTGTAACCACTCTGCAGGGAGGCGTGTCTGGAATGCTTGAACACGCAGAGACAGAATTACCTCAGACCTGAACCACAGCCTACTCTCTTTTGCACGCGTCTAAGTCCTCTCCCCTCCTCCCCCCAACACACACATCTGAGTTTTAAAAGCCTGTTTTCTTGCATGGATTTGTGTTTTGATTAACCTGTGAAGTGGGTCAAAGCACAAACTGAACATCGTGAAACAAATGTGTTTGACACAACTATAGTGGCTTTTCCATTCTCCTTTCCGTTTCCATGCTGAAGCCACCACCACAGTGGTGCCCAGATGGACACAGGCGCAGTCTGCAGCAGCAGAAGAGTGTGTTAGACAGAAAAGGCTGTTATGCATTGTTTCAGATACTGCCAGGCGGAGCTAGTCTTTACATCACACATTGTATAGCTCCTCACCTCAGACGCCATAGTCTGCAGATCCACCTTACTTTGTTTCAAAACAAATAAACCTGGAAATGTTTTCTTGTACTGGAAAAATAAAATGGACTTTACTGAGAAACCTCTCTGGTTCTTATTTTCTTTTGGGACAAGTGAAGAGGAGTAGTTGCCTAGTTGCTGTGAGATAGTGTGATATCAGTGAGATTGGAACTTGCTCTTGTTCAGTTGTGTGTTTAAAGCCATCTCGGATGTGCTGCTTCCATGTTCATGTGTGTTTTAAGCATCAAGTCACTGACATGTGCAGCAGCCTGTGAGCAGAACCGGACATTCAGAACATAGGTGTGTGTGTGGCCTGGCTTTCTGGAGACCCGAGCTATCATACCACACGCAGCAGGGCACTGCTCCGGCGTCCCCCTGTTTTTGCTATGTGCTTTATTAAGAACAGGGCATTGTGGCGTTTTTGAAAGTGCTCAGCCTCAGCCCCTGCAAGGGAGAGCAAAGAAGCAAGTCAGAGCAAGAAAAAGGGCCATCAGGGAGAGGTCAGGGATGTTTAGGAGGAGGATGTGCTTAACGGTTATTTTAATTGTTTGTTTGTTGGGAACAGGGTCTCTCTGTGTAGCCCTGGTTGTCCTGGAACTCACTTTAGACCAGGCTGGCCTCAAACTCAGATCCACCTGCCTCTGCCTTCCCAGTGTTGGGATTAAAGGTGTGTGCCACCATTCCTGGCTAGATCTAGAACTTGCCTATAATATAGGCTGGTCTCAAACTCTCCAGCCTCAGCCTTTCAGGTGCTGGGATCACAGGTGTGTGCAGATCTGCCCATTC